GCCTATGGGGTGGTGATATTTACTGGACATGATAGCAAAGTCATGCAGAATGCTACAAAATCTCCTTCGAAAAGAAGTGGAATAGAGAGAAAAATGGACAAAATTATTTACATCCTTTTTACTCTCCTTATATTGATCTCATCATTCAGCTCAATAGGTTTTGCTGTGAAAACAAAGTACGAAATGACAGATTGGTGGTATTTACGAACTACTGGCGATGATCATGATCCATTGTACAACCCTCGTAAGCCGACCTTATCAGGGCTCATACATTTAATCACAGCTCTTATACTTTATGGATATTTGATACCCATCTCGTTATATGTTTCCATCGAGATAGTTAAGGTTCTGCAAGCTTCCTTCATTAACCAAGATATTAACATGTATTGTGAAGAGACTGGCAATCCAGCTCGAGCTCGAACATCAAACTTGAATGAGGAGTTGGGTCAGGTGGACACAATCCTATCTGACAAAACAGGCACCTTGACTTGCAATCAGATGGACTTTCTGAAATGTTCCATTGCTGGCACTGCATATGGGGTTAAAGCTAGTGAGGTTGAACTTGCAGCTGCAAGGCAGATGGCATATGATCTTGAGGAGGATGGAGAATATTCTGATGTTTATGGGCAAAAGAATAGCCGACAGCCTTCTATGGCAAATAGCAGAAAAGGGTCCGAGATTGAATTGGAGACTGTCGTTACTTCGGGTGATGGCAAGGATCAGAAGTCTGCCATAAAGTATTTTAGTTTCGAGGACAGCCGCCTAACTGGTGGAAACTGGTTGAATGAACCCAATTCTGATGTCATTCTATTATTCTTCCGAATTTTAGGAATTTGTCACACTGCGATTCCCGAGCTGAACGAGGAGACTGGTGTTTATACATACGAGGCAGAGTCCCCAGATGAAGGCGCTTTTCTTGTTGCAGCAAGAGAATTTGGTTTTGAATTTTGTAAGAGAACACAGTCAACCTTGGTTGTCCGTGAAAAATATCCTTCACCTACCCAAATAGTTGAAAGGTAAGATAGCGTTATGATTATGTGCTTACTCACGCCTATTTTTCCAATGAATATTCTGTGTCATGCATTGCTGATGTTCTCTTGGGAATTTGTACAGGGAATACAAAATTTTGAATCTTTTGGATTTCACTAGCAAGAGAAAGAGAATGTCCGTAATTATTAGGGACGAGTTCGGCCAGATAATTCTTCTCTGCAAAGGTGCTGATAGGTGAGTCTCAAACTGCATTTTTCTTTTACCTTTTCATGAACATGAAGCAATTTTCTTCATTCTGAATTCTCCGATGCTCTAATTGTGCAGCATCATCTTCGATCGACTAGCAAAGAACGGAAGAATGTATGAGGAAGCTACCACAAGGCATTTGAATGAATATGGAGAAGCAGGGTTGCGAACTCTGGCACTTGCTTATAGGAAGCTTGAGGAGTCCGAATATAACGCTTGGAACAATGAGTTTCAAAAGGCTAAGACATCCATTGGAGGAGATAGAGATACAATGCTTGAGCGAGTATCCGACCTCATGGAGCGAGAATTAACCCTTGTTGGTGCTACTGCAGTGGAGGATAAGTTGCAGAATGGGGTGAGATGAATATTGATTTATCTGTAACTACGACTAATATCTGTTAACATGCTCGAGCTAGTATTTGATTTTTGTTTTTGTTCTAGGTCCCCCAATGCATAGACAAACTTGCACAAGCTGGTCTTAAGATCTGGGTTCTGACAGGAGATAAGATGGAAACTGCCATCAACATAGGGTCGGTTTTGCTAATCGATCAATGGCGTTTCTTACAGCATACATTCCATGTTAAAAAATATATCTTCTTATGTTAAGTAAAAGACATTGTTTCTGTCTGCAGATATGCGTGCAGTTTACTGCGACAGGGAATGAAGCGGATCTGCATATCGTCGAACTCGGATTCCTTAGCACAGGATGGCAAAGAGGTATATGATAGTTTGAGAGAGATCACATGAAACTGGCTACAGGAAATTGATTTCATACCAATTAGGATTTATTGCCTTTTGTTACACCTCAGGCCATGAAGGCACATATTTTGAATCAAATCACCAACGCCTCACAAATGATCAATCTGGAAAATGATCCACATGCTGCATTTGCTTTAATCATTGATGGGAAGACTCTAACCTATGCCCTTGAGGACGATATGAAGCTCCATTTCCTTGGGCTTGCTGTTGATTGTGCGTCGGTCATTTGCTGTCGAGTCTCCCCTAGACAGAAGGCTCTGGTAGGACTTGCATTCTCATTTTAGGATTAACCATCTTGTATGCTATACTGTTCATATATCATATTTAAGCTGTTTATCGAATGGTAATCTGTTTGTTTCGACTTCGACCTCTTTGGGGAGCGTTTCTACAGATAACAAGGTTAGTGAAAGAAGGTACTGGGAAAACCACTTTAGCAATTGGCGATGGTGCAAACGATGTAGGAATGATTCAAGAGGCCGATATTGGTGTCGGTATCAGTGGGGTTGAAGGTATGCAGGTACACACAAACGACTCTCCTCTCTAAACTTTGTCTACTAAATGAATATCTCTACCCCTCACTTTTAACCTCTAATTTCTTAGGCTGTGATGGCTAGTGATTTCTCTATTGCTCAATTTCGATTTCTGGAAAGGCTTCTGGTAGTCCATGGCCATTGGTGCTACAAGAGGATAGCACAAATGGTAATGTTAGACTGTTCCTATTTTCTTTGTTATGTTCATAGCAAGTTTTGATTCCAAGAATTCAATGGTCGATCAACCCGTTATGAATTGTCATAATTTTGTTTCCAAGAATTCAATGGTCGATCAACCCGTTATGAATTATCGGTAGTGGACGTTTTAAAATTCACCTTGATCTAACAAGGGTAGTTTTCATTTTCAGATATGCTACTTCTTCTACAAGAATATTGCATTTGGATTAACGCTGTTCTACTTTGAAGCATATGCTGGATTTTCTGGGCAATCAATCTATGATGATTTCTACATGTTATCATTTAATGTCATACTCACCTCATTGCCTGTAATTTCCCTTGGAGTTTTTGAGCAAGATGTTTCTTCTGAGGTCTGCCTCCAGGTAAAAGACACATTTTGAATACGATCCAACAAGCTGATTCGTGTTCGATTTCACATGCTAACCGTCATCGAAACTTGCAGTTCCCTGCACTGTATCAGCAAGGACCCAGAAACTTGTTCTTCGACTGGCCTCGGATTTTCGGATGGATGGGGAACGCTCTCTACTCCTCTCTAGTTACATTCTTCCTCAACCTCATCATCTTCTACGATCAGGCATTCCGCTCAGGTGGCCAAACTGCCGATATGACTACAGTGGGAACGACCATGTTTACGTGCATCATATGGGCAGTAAATTGCCAGATTGCTCTCACAATGAGCCATTTCACCTGGATCCAACACCTTTTCGTGTGGGGTAGTATCGCGATGTGGTACTTGTTCATCTTACTCTATGGAATGGTTTTATCCTCTGGGAATGCCTATAAAATCTTTGTTGAAGCACTAAGTCCTGCCCCTGTTTACTGGATAGCCACCATTTTAGTAACAATTACCTGTAATCTCCCATATCTTGCCCACATATCCTTCCAGAGAAGCTTCCATCCATTGGATCATCAAATTATTCAAGAAATCAAATACTACAGAAAGGATGTTGAAGATTCACACATGTGGACCAGAGAAAGATCAAAAGCAAGGCAAAAGACAAAGATAGGATTCACAGCCAGAGTAGAAGCAAAGATCAGACAGCTGAAAGGAAAGCTGCAAAAGAAACATTCTTCCCTGGGCATGCCTCCTCCAAATGCTTCTGTTATATCATGAAAAACATCTTCTTCTTCACCTAAATCTTCAAAATTTTTGGATTTTTTTCTAGAGTTTCCTCTGCCATCTGAATCTTTTTCTGTTCTTTTGAAACTTTTTTCTGTTATGACAAATGGGTCGTCACCACATCGGTACCCCGTTCATTATAGCGAAAAAAGAATGGCATCCGGAGCTCATGTATGTATCATAACTTAAAAAAAAAAAGAATTTGAAATGTTAAGAGCTTGTAGAATAGCTGATACCCTAAAGCAAGTTGCTGTTCCCATTCTTTCCCTACGGTTTGTTTGTATATCCCCTTATTCATGTTATTAAGAGATTCAAAATTGACTATGTCAGCTCATTCAGCTTTGTTTCAATCACTCTGGATCATCTGATGTTTATTTTGCTTTATGTTTTCATCTGCATGAACATTCATTGATAAGACATTGGTTTTGCTGTCAAATTTGATCTGCTCAATCCTGATTTGACCATTTGATTATTAAACTATGCATAGTTTCATCAGTTTTTGCAGATGAAGCAAACAAGAGAAAAATAATTGCCATGTGAAACTGTCTCTCATTTCTAGACTAAATCATTCCTTCCATCTTCTTACTCTTCCTTGTCTCTTCTTTAGATCTCTTTGGAGACATTTTTTACTCTTTCGATCTATTAGAACATATCAGATTATCTATCAATCGATTTGAAAATAGTACGTTCATTTTCGTCATAATAATAAGCAGCCGAAGTAGCTAAAAGTTAGAGCTCTACCCCTTTTCATTTTGATTCACAAAAGAATTGAGAAAGCCAACAAAAAGATTCAATTGTCTTTGTAGAGCTAGTGCCTGCACGTAGGGCCGTCCCCTCCCTTCTTGGGACACTAAGGGGCAAGTTTTTAGAATAGACGGTAGTGTTTTTCTCCCCCATTGCTAGTAGGTTAATGAGCGCCTAACACACATATTTCGGCCTTGTGTGTACGAAGAAATGGATCAGAAAACATTGGTTTTGTTCAGAAAAAGCATCACTTTAAACAGAACCCAGTTTCCCTTTTCCCCATTTGCCACAAATTTTGAACAGAAAACAATTCTGATCGTAATCCATCAACTTTGCAGTCATTACAGAGACCCTTTTCAAGCCGTTTCTCTTTCTATTGGGATTTGTAGATATAAAGAAGGAAAAAAACAGAGTAAACAGAGTAAAAAAGCATATGAAAGACTCAAACTTTCATGTTTTTTTTTCTTCAGGAACTCAAGAAGATCGACTGAAGAAGACTCACATAGTTTACATATTGAGGAAATTCAAGATCCAAACAAGAAACACACAACAAATTGCTATAATACATCACCTCCATCCGTACACTACTTGAGTGTATGTGTTCTTGATCCATCTGAAACTCTTTCTCAGAGACCCTTTCATCTTCCCTTCCACTGCATAAACCTTATATCCAGCGACCCTCGTTTTCCTCTGCAATTCTGGGTCCTTGAAGCTCCAGCTTTTAGAAGAAGACCCAATATTGCTTTTGCCTTTCTTCATCTTTACCTCTTTGTTCGATTGATTTTGCACAGAACCTGTATAGCTGACACTGTAAGACCTCAGATCTTGCATATTTGTTGGGGCAGCCTTGTTCTCTGTGTAGCTTTCAATCTGCATTCTGCCTTCTCTGCAGGATTTGGATCTGAAATCCTCCATAACCCAAACTCCAAAGAGACTAAATTGGGAAAGGGAAGGAAAAGGGCTTCTGGGTCTCCTTTTTATGGTGGTTTTAGATCAGGGAAAGGCCTATTTATAAGTAATATTGGGGGAAATAAAAGAGTACGGGAGCAGTTCAGGATCCGGACGTATTTAATAAGTATAGGGATTGCCATTTACAATTGTCTTCTCTCAAGGGAGCTGAAAATGTTGACTCTTTGGCTTGTAGAATGGCCATAAAGTCACCTCCTTTTAAATAAAAACACTTAAATCAAGGCTTGTCATGAAAGCGAGTGGTTGCAACAACTCCTCTCAATAACAAAAGGTTTTCATTGAATATCGGTTGCGTTAGCATCATTTAAGAATGATGTAAAGTTCAACGGCATTGTAAATATTAGATGAGCTTCGAGATATTAAAATGATTCATGTCAATGGGTAAAGATACAAACTATTTTTTTATTTTAGCTCGTGAATTTCATCATGTGCGGTTTTATCACGACAGTAAATGTTGGGGGAGAAGGAATTGAATGGTTGTGACGAAAATGAGAATGTTGATTGATGGATGGAGTGAAGTGGGTCGAACTGAACATCAAATCTTGTCCACCATTTCCATTATTTCAGATTCTTCAATTGAATTGATAGTTCTGTTTTTCTTGTATGAAGAAGGGAGAGGGGCCCCTCAGCACAAGTTTTCATTAAACTCATTAATTGAAAGGCAGTGAAGTGAGATGGTGCATTAGGCGTAGGGTATTGAAGAATGTTCCAAGGTTGTATAGCCATCAATAAGGGTGGCCCTGAGGGGCATCATATCAGGGTTAAAGGGCATTGGCCTCAATACAGTAATGAGTACGACTTTCTAGTAATGTTTGAGGAATGTGGAGACCTAGATCACCACCCTATTGCCTCCTTAGAAATTGGCCTTCCTTGGTAAGTAGGGTCGGGTTAGAACAACTATTCTTTTAAGCACTTCATAAGTTAATCGAAAGAGGCCTGGTTCTCTTACAAGAATTTAATAGTTATATAATTTTAGATGTAAATTAAACCCATATACATAACAATTTTGTTTAGTAGCGAATGGATCCACCAACTATAAAACTAAGAAAATAAAACAAAAGATACCAAATGATTCCCCCAACAAAGGAATCTTAAAAAACTCTTGTTTATTCATAGAGTAATATAAAGAACAAAGAGTAATATAAAAGTCTTCGTTCATTTATAGAGTAATATGAAAGTCTTCGTAATATAAATGTCCTGTAACTCACGACAAAGATAACAAACAACCAACCCCTTAAAAAGCACCATTCTTAGATGGAGCTGAATTTGACATGCAGCAGAAGGCCTCTTCCAACGGAATATAATTACATGAAGAGATATACACAAATAAATTCCTGACAAACAAATTGAGTTTCAATCAAATGCAATTTGATACAATTCTCAAAATCTTGCACAGAAAGCAGAGACCATAAATCATTAACAAAATGTCAGTCTGATAATACTAATATACGAAAACAGAGTGAAGAGACAGTAGAAAAATGTTCAAGGGGGGCGAGGGGTGAGGGGCGGGCGGCTAAATAGTGTCCTTCAGAGATAAGAAAAATCCCATCCCTATGAACAAAAACAAAACAGAACACAAAGAAAAGCTAAACAAAAACCTCATCATAGGAGATCAGCAACATTGGCTGGCAGCTCCTCAACGACCACATTATAGAACTTCTGAATATCAAAAAGCATTCTCTCATCATCGCTTGTAACAAAATTAATGGCCACACCTTTTCTTCCGAAACGCCCACTTCGACCAATTCGATGAAGGTAATTCTCTGGTTGGGTTGGCAAATCATAATTTATAACAAGGGAGACTTGCTGAACATCAATACCTCGAGCTAACAAGTCAGTTGTGATAAGAACACGAGACGAGCCAGACCGAAATTCACGCATGATTATATCTCGAGTGTTCTGGTCCATGTCACCGTGGGTGGCCGATACAGTATGGTCTCGGCTTCTCATCTTGTCTGTAAGCCAATCGACCTTGCGACGTGTGTTAACAAAGATGACACTTTGAGTGATAGCCAGAGTCTCGTAGAGATCACATAACGTTTCAAGTTTCCAATCTTCCTTGTCAACATTTACATAAAATTGTTTGATACCCTCCAAAGTAAGCTCATCACGTTTTACCAAGATTCTGACAGGCTTGTTCATGAATTTTCTAGTAATCTCCAAAGCTTCGGGTGGCATTGTGGCTGAGAACACCCCAACTTGAATTTTTGATGGCAACAGCTGGAAAATGTCATAAATCTACCACCACAAAAAGCAGTAACGTAGAAAGCCATTAGAAATCTTCATTCTGCGACAAATGAAGAGAAAAAAAAAATACAAATACAAAGCAAGGCTTCCACAAGGCAAAAGGAACAAATTCAGCACTGATAAACCTAATAATAATACAATATTTATGTTAAATTCCTCCCTACAAAACACAATCATCATGAAAATGCTGGTTCAGCAAGATACCTGATCTTTGAAACCTCGAGAAAGCATTTCATCAGCTTCATCCAATACAAACATCTTAATAGAATCCGGACGAAGAGATTGCCTCCTTAACATGTCAAACACACGGCCAGGTGTTCCAACTACAACGTGAACACCAGCTTGAAGAATGCGTTGATCCTCACGGACGCTTGTCCCTCCCACACAAGCATGTACCTTAACACCAAGATAATCTCCAAGAGCTCTCATAACCTTCTCAATTTGTTGAGCAAGCTCCCTAGTTGGAGCCAAAACTAAAGCCTGGCACTGGACTAGACCATAATCAAGTTGCTGCAATATTCCAGAGCAAAAGGTTGCAGTCTTCCCAGTTCCAGACTGAGCCTGCTGAATCACATCAAGGCCTTTGCAGAAGGGAACAATACCTCTTTGCTGAATTGCAGATGGCTTCTCGAAACCTTAAAGAAGGGAGGAAACCCTTGGAATTAGATAAAGAATTACACAGTATATTTGAGACAAAACGAGCAAAAATCAAAAGAAATAAAAATGAATCAAATAAGTATATACCATAGGCATAAATGCCTCTAAGGAGGTTTTCTTGCAGCCCCATCGAATCAAAACTTTCATAAACTTCATCATATGAGGTAAAAAATTCCTGGCCTTCTGCCGAAAGACTGCAAGGAGGAGCAAGAAAGTAATACTGAATTAGCGCATAGACATGGAAGCAAAAAGAAATCGCAAAGGACAATAATGAAAAGAGGAAATAAGAGAATCACTTACATCTCATTCATTTTAGTATCATATTGACGAGAATCAAATTGGGATCCTTCTGGAGCCAAACCTGCCATGGCTGTAAGTGGAAAATGGTGCAAAATATAAGAGATCACTACAGAAAGGGAACACTAAGACGAACAAACAAATCAAAAAACCCGAAATTACGCGGCCATGGAAATAATAAATTCATAATCATTTTATCAACCCGACCAACGGACAAACAGAACATTACGAATTCGTCAGAAAGGAAATCTGTAACAGAAAAGCCAAACTTGCAATCCTTATAAAAGAGGATAACAAGCATTAAAATTCTGTCTCAATGTAGGAAAAGGAGTCAGGGCTATCTGATATTTTTTTCTCAAAAAAGAAAAGAAAACCAGACACCGCTTTAACCTTTTCCAAAGCAGATGCTGTTAAAATAATCATAAAAAAAAAGCCCCAAAACAACGTATAAACAAGAATTCCTGCATGAATTACACTGCGTTCTATATGAAAAAGCAAAGAATAGGCCTAGTCTAAATGAGTAGAAACAGATTCAGGTGGATTAAAGAAACAATTACAACCCATAAACAAACAAAGAAACAAAGAGAATAAGGAACTCGACCTACAACCACAAGTCCAGATTAGCGTCAAATCCCGACATAACAAAACAAGAAGGAAAGAAAACCTAAAGAAAAAGATAATCAAAGAGGCACACATACATACAACCATATTCGTCCACTGAAATTAGTGGAAAAGGAAGCAAAATCAAAAGAGAAAGGAATGAATCAGACCTACGGATCGACAAGAACAGAGAGGAAGTTGAAGCAGAAGGAGATTGAAGAAAGGGAGCTAGGGTTTGCCAAACTCCTCGGATCTGATCCGTGGAGTTGGAGGCGAGCGTTGGGCAAAGCGCAGCGAAAGAGGGAAACGAAGTGGGAGGGTGTTAGGTTTTTGTAGTAACCCTCAACACTGAGAATAATTAACCAAATTTCCGAAACTGCCCTTCCCTTTCCTTTATTTTTTTTTTTTAATTCTTTTAATATTATTATTTTTAAATGTATAAATGGGTGAATTTGTTTTCTAAAAAATGGTGAATTTATTTGAAAATATTTAAAGTTAATTGTTTTATTTTTATTATTATTATTATTGTTGTTGTTAGTTGTTAATAATTATTGTAAATAAAATTCATTTTTTTTACGTTCTAATATAAAAATTGAGATGTAACTTCTTGAATTCTAGAAATATATTTTTTATAATTATTAAAAGATTAGATTAATGAATTAATTGATTAATTGATAATTTTGGTAATTAATGAATAATCCAATTGGAATATGAGAGTAGTAATAATGAATTAATTGATAATTTTGGTAAATATTTAAACCCCGGGTTGCTTGAGCTTATAGAATATGTTCACTTGGTTGATGCACGATCCTATTTCATTATTTGATTCATGAGTTAAGCGTGCTTAATAGAATACTATTTTTATTGATCACTTAGTTGTCGCACGATCATACATATTTTATTATTATTGATGTCATAGCCGCTCTCAGGTAGTGATACTAATTAGTGGTGGTTGGACATTGGTTATTCACGATCATGATCATAGCCACCTTTCGATTGTTTTTTTGATTTGATTTGTAATAGAAAACTCTATGAGATTAGAGAGGTAGGTTGAAACAATAATGTTTTCCAATTGAATTCTTTTTAAAGTGGTGTCTAAAACTCTCTTTCTCCACCTTTTCATTTTAAACTATAAAATTGTTATCTTTATAGTATGAACCTTCTAAAAGTTCGGAGATTAAAATGGAACAACCCGAAAACTGCAAGACATTTCATGAGAGAATGAACGAATTTTTAGGATAAGCAAAGCTTTCAAAAAATTAACCTAATGTGAACGTTGAATCAAAAGATCTTAACTATAAAAGAACATATAAAGACTCTTATGTGTTCGCATGGTGACGAGGGATTCAAATGGGTACACTTTCTGTAATAGCTCAATCCCACCGCTAACCGATAGTCTGTTTTGAGCTTTCCCTCAAAGTTTTAAAACGAGTCTGCTACGATATCAGATGATAGATGCATTTTAAAACCTGGATGGGAGCCCCAAAGAAGAAAATCTCTGCCAACGTAGGCACTCCATGATACAAAAATATCACCATTATTTTCTTTAAACGATCTTGTAAATGCTGCAGTCTTCTAAGATTGATTTGAAGAGCAGAAGAATCAATGGAAAGGAAATGCATTTAAGATTGATTTTATTGGAGATTTATGAAGAGAGAAGTCATTACCTATCATCAGGTTGAAACATAGCTTCACTCAAGACTGAGGTTGAGCCCAATCGAGCAAACCTAATGATCCGCAAGAGGCTCCTCGGGAAGCTACTGCGCGACCTCTGGCGCAACTATCTTAATTGCGGGATCGGCCCCACCTAAGGCATGTGCACGGGAGGGCGTAGGTGAAACAAAATTCAAATGGACTGAGTTGCCTTCCTACAACTCTTAGCTTATCGACCGGTCTTGCATTAGATACTGCCTTGGAGAAGAATGTTCTAGCTTACTCTGATAAATTTTGCAGGTTGATGAAGCCAAGCAGATGATGCAAAAGCCAAAGAATGTGCCAAAAATATGGGAGGACCTGTAAGTTGTTTTAATGCCTGTAACTGAAGCTCTAATAGTTATGGTTAGAAGGTTGCTAAAATGAAAGCAGTTCAACATGATGAAATTATAGAGATGCGAAACTACAAAAGCAATGCAGCTGCTGCTTTAGCATGTGGCGCTCCGATGGCTGAAAGCATTCAAAGGACGTTGAGGATCTAGAACCGATGTAGATCGACGTTCCCAGATTTGTTCCATCGTCCCAAGTAACAACCTTCTCTCAAATAACAATCAAGGGTAGTGCATAGAGAAATTTAGAGCATATCTATCCTATCTTTCAATTTTCCCAGTTCAATCATCGTACAGTATCATTTCGGAACGGCCATTTATCAAGATAGCAAGACACAGTAAAGATAACAACTCATTTGCAACTGACCAACTTCATTTCAAGCACTAAGAAAGTTATTCCGAACAAGCCCTGAATAGATACAATTTCATTTTGTGAGATACCACATCGGTTGAAGAAGGGAACAAAGCATTCCTTATAAGAGTGTAAAAACCTCTCCCTAGTAGACACATTTTAAAACTATGATGCTAACGGCAATACGTAACAAGCCGCAGTGGACTTGGGCTGTTACACATTTATAATTAACATGCTTCAAATCAACCTTCCTCGTTTTTTCTCTCCCATATAGAAAATCAACATTAAGCCTAACTTCTCCAAAGGGAACCAAATTCCCTTTTAATATCTCATCGTAAGAACACCTATCGCCCACTTCAACGACAATGATCAAACAATTTCTAAGAACATGAAGGTAAAAAAATTTCTACGGCAGAATTGGAATTCTTAAATCAAGGATGATCAGCAAGGTAAAATTATGACCCCAGATAGTCTCATACACCAACATCAATAGAGCATGAACAGACAAGAAATAAAAGTTGAATTCATTCTTCAAACCATGAATAAGACTATCCAATATCCTAGGCTCAAAAGGGTCATTCTAATTTTCTACAAACTTTACCATGATTGACAAGCATCGAGCACGGAATCACAGAACTTTTGAACTCCCTCCAGCCATGAAAGCATCAAACATGGATCTCTCTTCTGTACTCAAACTAGAAAATTATGTATTGGTTAAGCAGCAAAACAATAAGTTACTACTAATTGAAACCGATCAAACCTCAAATAATTTCATTACTTACATCCAAATTATCAAACGACATGGAAATAATGAATCATTCCCATACCACAAGTTTAAAGTCTTGAGGATTATTCATTATCAGAGAACTCGACGAATTACATCACTAAATGAAGCTAATGAAGAAGCACGAGTTAACCTCGTATAGAAAATATCAAGTGAATATTAGTCAATTCAATCCCCAGCATTGTCATCACAGATTCCCATATAAAACTATGGCATTCTAACACGAAGTTCATCGATCAAAATTGCAATATAAAATTCCTTTTCCCCCATCATATCGGCACGTACCGCTTCAACATCTGCTTACCCGTCACCGCCATACCAACCACGACGCCGCCAATAGCGCCGGCCACTGCCGCCGATCTCACCCCTCTTGCTGCGCGATAAAGCGCACCGGTGCCAAGTCCCGCAGCAACACAGTTCCACACATCGTCCGTATCCCTCACAGCTTCAAACCCGCTCTCCAAACCAGCATATAGCAGCCCAATCACGCCGAGACGATTCCCCCAAAGACGCCCTAAATGACCAGACGAGTTCAGAATCCGATTGATCCGTAGTTTCATCGTATCCCCTGATTCAAAAGACTTGACGCCGGAGACGAAGCCCGTAGACGCGCCGGCGACTGCACCAGCGAGGTAACCGCAACCCGTGTAGAAGGTGAGATTCTCGCCCCAAGATCGACGCTGGCGGCGAGCTTCTTCATCGAAAAGAAACTCCGGGGAGGTTGGAAGCTGGAAATTTCGATAAGGAACCTGGAGATCCTTGTAGGGATTGTAAAGACGCGGTTGGGATGAGCCATGATCGAACCCTGAATCAGTATCGCGCTTGGAAGAATGGTCCGCCATAGTTGAGATTTGAGTTCTAAGCTTAGGGTTGCGCTCAATTCTCTCCAACAGAGAGAGAGAGGGAGAGAGATTTTTATTAAGAACCGCGATTCTCCATATTTTATGCGGGAAAAATAATCATCCCGGTTCATTGTCTCTAGTATCTCGGGTTGACCGAATTAAACCAAACGTATAGGGCGGTTCCACTCAGCCGAACCCTAAACCGGTAAGCTACAAAGGCGGTTTGTAAGATGCGGCAGATTAATTTGGCCTCCCGTGCTGATCACGTGATTTATTTATTTATTTAAAGATTAATTCATATAAATACTTTCTTTTTTTTAACTTTGGCATGAACTTTAATTATATCTCGAACTCAAAATAAATTATGAAAATTAATATGAAAAAAATTAAAAAACATACCATTTATTTAAAGTTATATTTCGTAAGAATGATACTGTAATATTAAGAGGATATTTTAGAAATATATGAGTTAGAATATATCTGAGATATTTAAGGAGTTGTTAGTATAAATTTGATTAATGATGTATTTTATTTATTTACAAGATTTAGTTAGTTATATTTTTTTTAGGTATTAGTTAATAGTTTGTATATATTTAAATGTGGTAAACAATATCGGGTATTTTAGCTTTGAATTTATATATGGATGAATTTATCTCGATTGTATTAGAAAATCATTTCATAATTTTAAAATTTGTGTGAGACTTGTTTATATACATGAATCTTCAAGAGAAAAGTTGGGTAATTTAGATGAGGAAACAAGCCACATTTGCAGGCGTTTATAAATGTGAAGTGCTAAACGAGTACGAAATAACAGATAAATTAGAAGATACAATGATTTCTCTTTATGAACATGCTAAGAGAGCTTTGCTGCTTCTTAAGAGTCTGTTCATCAACTCGTTTTCCACTCAGTGGGATAGCTGAGACTTTCGCATCACTGTTCTTCGAGGTCTATTCTTTCTTTGTCCGCAGAGAGATGGTATTCAAACAAATACCCTTTTGGCTCCAAGATTTCGTATCAACTTTCGCTGCCATCTTGTTCTCACATCGTTCTATATCGAGTTTCCATTGGCAGGTTGGGATTGTTTCTCGTTCTTTCCTGTTCATACATGATAGCAAGATATAAATACAAAGGTTTCCAGTGTATATAAAGATCAAAGCCTGGTAACAATAAAAATTGCAGCAACTTTTTTGTTCAACCTTTTTTCACACAAGTTTTAGGCTGAATTTTGGAAACTCTACACATGAACAAAGAAACTGCAGTCAACTAACCTCATGTCCTGATCTCCTTAATTTTGGAGCTGAGTTAGAGGCCGGTCGATCACATGATTCGCAGACATCTGGGAGTTTTCCCTTTAGTGGCATTTTGCTCAATCCTAGATTTTTTAACCGGACCAGTTCGGGCAATAGAACTGTATGGAGATCAGGCCTGTCTCTTTTCCTTAGCTCACAGCACTGCAGGGCTAATTGAGCGAGTCCAAGAGTATCTTCAATAGGCCAATCTGTAACTGTAGGATCAAGTGCCTGTGGAAATGTGCCGTGTTCAATGGCCTCCTCGACCTGATATGAAAGACCCATCGGTGACCTTGCAGTGATGAGCTGGAGTAGCAGAACACCAAATGAGTAAATATCTGACTTCACACCCAACATTCCTGTTTGTTGATATTCTGGATCAATGTAACAGAATGTTCCAGCTGCAGCAGTCATGTGATATTGAGTGACGCTATCGGCAACCGATGGTGGAACTAGCCTGGCCAAACCCACATCACCTATTTTGCCCACGTAGTTGTGATCTAAGAGAATGTTGGCTGGCTTGAGATCGCGATGCACCACAGGTTCTGGCTTCATTTGGTGAAGGAAGAGTAAGGCAGTGGCAATGTCAGCAGCTATCCTGAAACGGGTACTCCAAGGGATTGGAGGAGTGTTATCTTTTCGGAAAAGACGGTCTTCTAAGCTCCCGTTTTCCATATATTCATAAACGAGACAACCGTTTTCTGGGCAGGCACCTAAGAGGAGAACCATGTGTGGATGCCTCATGCGGCTTAGAACCTCAATCTGCAAACAATGAACACAGAATCTTCAGGAGCTTGTTAAATGCATGAATTGAATGAAAATTTACGTGTTATCATTCGCTATAAATATGTTTCTTGTTGTAACAGCTTGAGACAATGAAGTTGCAGTGAACTAAACGATCTACTATTACAGAAAACTTACGTATAGATGGCAATTCCACGAAAATATTTCCACTTCCACCCTAGATAAACAAAGAAAAAACAAATTTACCTCTTGCTGGAATTGTTTCTGCCCATGAGATCTATCTGGTCTCAAGATCTTAATGGCAACAGAAGTATGATCGAGTATGGCTTGGTAAACAGGTCCATATCCCCCTTCACCAATCTTATTAGACTCATTAAAATGATCTGTTGCAGCTTCGATCTCGTCAATTCTGTATCGTTTATAGCAGACATTACTGCGTTCAAATAAATCAATTGCTTTCTTCATCTCCTCTGCCTCAATCCTAGCTTTATTTTCAACAATAACTCGTTTTTTCTGGGTCTCTAATTCTGCCAACTTCTGTGCCATTACAGCTGCTTCTGTCGCAGCCTTGTTCTTCTGCTTCTCAAACTCGACCAATGTCGTTATAGCCTCTTCTGAAGATTTACTACGCTCAAGTTTTTGGTCTTCTACCAATTCCATCTTCAACTGTTGCATTTCTTTTGCCTGACATCAATCATCAAACATAGTATTTTCCTTTCAGGATCAACAGGGTACGAACAATGTACCATCTAGAAATTCTGAGCTTAAGAATATCATCTGACATAGAAACTGTGATCATCATCAGTTCTTACCTTTTGTTTTGCTATTATAGCTTCATTGGAAGCTAATTCATACATTTCCATCGTTTGTTTGAGTTCCAACCTCAACTTTCTCATCTCAGCTTCTATGGAAGACTGTAAATGCAGATAAGCTAATGTATTAAGTATCCATGTCTATAACTACATAACTTAAAAGATATAAAATATTGTCGCCCAAATGTAAATTCATATACAAATGATGTTGGAAATGTAATCATTGATCGACCGAAATCAAATAGCTCTTTAGCTGGACAAGAAAATGATAATTTTTTACTTACTGGGGTGTTAGAGGACACAAAGCTCCTCGAATTAGTCTCTGAGGAGGTTGTGAAAGAATCTAAGTTCTCAAAGGATGTTTCAAATGATTTGAAAGGCCCCGAATAGTCACTGATGCCTGACATTGAATCATAACTGGTGCCAGAACTATCCCAACAATCGAAACAAACTGTCATTAGTCATTTGTCACAACCATCACCTCTAAAGGCAGTTGTAGGCAAGCAAGCAATGCTTCTGACCGAGAATAAAGGGAAGAAAACATTAAAAGCCTGTATGCTTATCCTATGAGTCTACGCAAACAAAGACCACTGATTGAACAACGTAAAAGGAAAATTGGGCTTTTGTCTAGGAACACCAGTGAAAAAAAAAGACAGAAATCAAACATTTCAGAAATTTTCACAAGTACGCAATTCCAGAAGGCCACTACTACATTGGCATCCAATCAGCTAATGATAAGAATTCTATCTATACAGGAAATTAGTGAAGACGCAAAAAAGAGAAGTTTACCATAATAAACTTGTCACATATGAGAAAGATGAATGTTGTGGATAGTTGTATCTACCCAAAAATGTAAATATTGGATTTCTACCTGCTTTTATCTTCAGAGAGTCCTGAGATATTAGGGTATGCTGATTTTTGTATTTTTGATATAGACCTGCTCAAATGTGGAGCTCTAGATGGTGTTTCTGTACTATCAGTTTGTGACTTCGGTTTCTTTTTCAGTCTCTTAGTATGAACCTTTCCTCTAGCTATGACATATACAGAGCATGATTCTGGAGTTGATTTGAGTAAGCACGTTGGGACATCGGGATGCTTGAACTTCCTGCATCATGCAAATGCTTATAGCTTAGACTAATTTCTTCAATAAAATGTAAAAATCTCCCTACCACAGAGGCAAAGAGAGAGACAGACCTCAAAATAACATTCCGGTTGGAAGCACCCACAACAATATTGCTAATGGAGTGTTTACTGACATAGTCAATAAGTGCACTAGGAACATCGATGTCGTGTATGATTATCTCCTTTGCAACTATCTGAAACATGCGAAATTACGATACTTCCTTTAAACAAGTTGATTTAAGATGCATTTTATGGATGAATAATATGGGAAAAACCTAATTAAGTAAAAAGGTTTCTCAGAATCAACTCAATGTGGCATATGCCGTAGTCATGGTTCCTCGTTTGAAATATGTAAACCTAATCTCATGAATAATATTATGGGAGTCTTTGCTGACATTTTGATCAAATTCATAAACGATTCATTATCCCATCAAAACAGACCATCCTGAAAAAAACCCCGATTTCAAAGAACGAGAACTAATCCGATTATTTGTATATGACAAGGAATTGGTAAATTGTTTACTCCTTTTCGTGCACAGAATCCGCGGAAGGGAAGGAAGAACTGATGCAACTCAGCTTCAGTCGGTGGACGATACTCCTTAGGCACCGTATCGGCATCCTCTGCATACAAAGGCCAAATCACAAGAAACCATTGATTCATCTCCAAACGTCATAGCGTACGACAGGGAATTTCAACTAAGGAAATGAAACTACTAAAATTGACGACGGCCAAACGACGTCAACAACTAGGGAGACGGATACCTACGGGGATGCATGCTCTGGCTACGAACATGGATGAGGATGCAATCGCCGGAGTTCTTCCTGTTGAACAGGTGTTCTACAGCCCATTTAACCGCATATTGACTGTTCTTGTCCCTGCTAATGGCGATCACCGTGTGGGAAGTGGTAAAGGAATCGTTAACTTCTTCTTCAGCCGTGGGAGCTGCCATAGCTCCAAACTCCACCACCACTGTTGACGCTACCGGACAGAGATGACAGAATACGGTAACGAGAAATGAAAACGAGGTGAGGGGCGGAAAGGGAGTGGGGAGTGGGTTTGATTGCGATTGTTTTACTAAATTTGGGGACCAAAAACAAGAACGTCAACACCATCTTCTTCGCGAAGAATCTCAAATCCAATCTGTGGTTGCTAAAATTAGGGTTTGTGAAGAAGATTATCGGTTGACCTCTCTGTATTGTCGAATTCTAAACTGGAAACAGCGCGTTGCTTTGAGCAGAAGAAACCATACTTGCTGGCCTAGAATTGAATTCCACGTCATTTCTTCGACCAAACAAATGGCTAAATTTAAATACCGATTTTTAAAAAACAACGGTCATGTCTTTAATTTTTGCAAAAATATTTAAATGCCAAAAATAAATATTTTATTACTATTATTATTATTAAAATGGAATTAAATCTTGAGTGTAAAATGATTTTGAAAATTGATTCAAATCCAATACAATTTAGTCCTAATATTTAGGTGATCAATTTTTAAAAAATAATTTTAAAAACACACAATTAAAATTTAAAAAGTATAGGAAAATTTCAATTTTTTGACAACAAAAAAAATAAATAAATAATCAAATAAATGGCTTTAAAAGCTCGGATTAGATATCATGCAAATACCTTGTATTTGAAAATTTTGAGCTATCATTTATAAAAAACAATTTTATCAATTTTCAACACTAAATCAAAATTACTTTAAAATTGTGAGGTGAACTATCCGGGCAAAAATAGACAATATCTACTATAAATGAGTTTGGGTTGTTACAAATTGTATCAGAGCTAGACACCGGTGTGTGTACCAACGAGAAAGTTGAGCAAGAAAGTTGGGCCTCCAAGGGGATGGATTGTGAAACTCCACATCGGTTGGAGACTTCTCTCTAGCAGACGCCTTCCTTATAAGGGTGTGGAAACCGTGAGCCTAACGACGATATGTAACGAACTAAAATAAACAATATTTACTAGGTTTGAAATCGACCAATAAATTTAAAACATCAACATGGCATTGGTTAAAATGAGTTAATTTTGTCAACTTGTGAGGTTATTGTATTTGTTATTGATTGCAGTTGACAACGATGAAAATGTAGTTAGACCACTTGAAATTATAGAGAATGGTCATACTATATCTATACCTTAGTAAGTTGAGTATCAATATACATTTAATCGCCTAATTCCCTTACATAAGTCGACCAAGAAAAGCATTTTAAAAACACAAAAATTATAGATATTTTTATAGAATTTAGAGGAGAAGATGTATCGATATAGATGTTTTTTATACTAAGTTAGGGTAGTTAGAGATGATTGAACACTTATTTGTACCGTAAAATGAGCATCAGTTAGCAAAGTCGATGAAATCATCGCATTAACACCCTAGCTCATTATAGGTTTACGTATTTAATTCAAAACAAAATAGTTGTCAGAAAGTTGATTATCATAAGAAATGAAAAATCATTTTTTAAAAAAACACTAATTTCCAAATAAGCTCGAGTTATTTGATGATAATTCGAGCATAGTTCAATGGATAAGACATTGATTATCATTCACGTCGAAAAAGTCAATGAATCAAAAGAAACATAGTGATTTGACTAGTTTTCCAAACAAGCTTTCATCATCCAAAGTTCCAACTTCCAAATGATAAAACACCATTCTATGCAGAGCTACTTCATAAAAACAAGTTTGCATTTGCAATATGAAAGAAATGACATGAAATATAACTATTATGACAATTTACCTTTTTAACTCCACAAAATCGCTGCCTACAATTCAGCTTCTTCAACTAACGGTACTATGGTCATGGCCATCTCACTCTTATCGTCGTCTCTTCTGCCTCAACTCGGGAAATTCAAGGGGGGTAGGAAGTGTAACCAATGACAAGTTGTTCTTGCGTATAAACTTGCAACCCAGGTTATCAAAATGGAGTCGTAGATCGTAGGGACTAGTTCTCAGATCCTTTGCTATGTCTGATGGATCGCTACTGAATTCATCGGCAAATAGCGTAAGCACTAAAACGTGACTGATGAGAAGATTAATCGTCTCTGTTGACAGTCTTCGCGCCTCAGAAGTCGGAAACATGGATGAGAACTTTTGGCGTATCATGCTAGGAAATTTATGGCTCTTTGCAGAGGCAACATCACCCATGGAATGCTGATCCTTATACTTTATTAGATGAGTGATATATGAAAATATGGAACACAGCTGCTTCTTCTCCTCTTCGTCCTAAGATGGTTTTAACATGAAAAAGGATTTAGTACAAATGAACGAAAAAATAGAAGATCCTAAAATAACGGTGCTCGTTTGGTAAAGAGTGAGCTCCTCTTTCAACGAAATAATAATAATAATAATACTCGTTTCAAAAATCGACAGTACAGCTGCAGAAAGAATCCATACAACTTGGAACAAGCATTGGAAAGTAAATAAATAAATAAGGCTTGCTTGTTAGACTTGAAAGCAAGCTCCTTTTCCACAAAAAAAATAAAGTACGAGAACCAAACTTCCCACACAAACATAAAGGCCAAGTAGCTTCTCACGAGCGCAAATGTGAGATCCCAAATCGATTGGATAGAAGAACGAAACATCCTTAGGGAAGCCCAAAAGGAAAAGCTCAAAGATGACAATATCTGCTAACGATGGGCTTGGCCTATTACAAATGGTATCAGAGCGAGACACTAGGTGATGTGCCAGTAAGGATGCTAGGTCTCAAAAGGGGTAGACACGAGGCAGTGTGCCAGCAAGGACGCTAGGCCCCAAAGAGGGGTGGATTGTGACACCCACATCGGTTGGGGAGGAGAACGGACACTAGGCCCTGAAGGGGGGTAAATTGGGGGGTCCCACATCGATTAGAGAAGAGAACGAGTGTCAACAAGGACGCTGAGTCCGAAGAGGGGTGAATTGTGAGATCCCACATCAGTTGGAAAGAAGAACAAAGCATTCTTTATAAGGGTGTGGAAACCTTCCCCTAATAGACGTGTTTTAGAAACCTTGAGAGAAAGCCCAAAAAGAAAAGCTCAAACAAGACAATATCAACTAGCGATGGACTTGGGATATTACATCAAATTAGTTCCGGAATGAAAACAATTAACAGCGGTGAATCAACAAGAGAAGAGAGCTTAATCTGATAGGATAAACAACACAAGGCATCATACTGGATAAATAGCAATGAACATCTACATGATTCATGAATATCAGGAAGGCAGAATATTCTCAGGATATTCATAAAGGTAATTCGAAGTAGAACCTTCTTAATACCATACCTGAACATCTTGCAATTTATAAATTCTGTTGCGGACAAAGGATGGATATTTTGCACTTATTTCAGCTTCTTCTTGCAAAAGGGAATAAATATCCTCCAGAAAACTCCATTCTCCCTTGAGGATAATCTTGTCGAGTGGGTAAGCTTCTCGTGGAGTAGTTGCAGAAACATTATACGTCGGTATATTACGAGCAATTTGTGCACCTGTACTTTCCAAGGCCTCTTTGTTCACCACTACATTTTTCATTTTCCCATCGAGATCCTTCTTGGTATCAGGATCATCCTCTTGCTTCAAAGAATGCAGCTTCTTTGCCTGCAACAAATTAACAAACAGATATCAAACTAGTTGTTGTACTTCCTGAAAACGCCATTTGGAAGTGACTTCATCATCCAAAACCAAGTTTCATTTACGAGTCATGGTCAAAAGCGTTCTTTATAAGGGTGTGAAAACCTCTCCCTACTAGACGCGTTTTAAAAACCTAGAGAGGAAATCCGAAAGGAAAAGCCCAAAAAAAACAATATCTGCTAGTGGTGGGCTTAGATTGTGTTACATCAAATGTCAAAGAGACTCTTTTTCAAGTAGAGGATAAAGCTGATGATATTGGAAAGTGGAACAGATCTCTTCCAAGACAAATTCTAGGCAACAAAACAGATAGAAAAGATGTAATCCTTTTTCATAATAGCATGCTACCCATAATTCTGTTCACCTGCTCATAAGGTTAACTCCAACATTCATTTACTAAATAAGTCACTTTTTTAAGCTCTTGAAAAATCATTTCAAAGGGGGGAAAGTAGGAGGATGATAAAGTGCTAAAGAGAGCAATTCCATGATTCTATTTCTACCTGATTTATTGACTTCTTTGTTCCATAGAGATTGGTGAGCTCTCTCATTTTTTCAGCTTTCTCCTGCACAGAAAGCTCTTCATTTTCCACACTTTGGGATTCCATTTCAGAAACATCTGAACCTCTGATTCTTGGATCCAATCTAAATATCTGCAGGGATAAATATCAAACTTAGGAACACAGTTGTGATTATTACAGCATGAACATTTTGTAAAGTAGATAAAATGCATATCAAAGAGGATGCCTAGTTCTAGAAACACAGTGAGTTTGAGCAAAATGAAAATGAAAATGGAAAACTATATACTAACAAATTTACAATAGCCCAGATATAATCGGCCAAAAACTTGAGTAACTATGCCCTCCTAGCTCGATATGAACAGCTCTTCACAACCCATATCGATAGACCATAATCAATCAATGGTCTTTCCTAAGAAAAATCAAGCAAAGCAGATCAAAGAGCACAATTCATTCGAAGGAAAGACATACCAAAACAAACAAGCATCAATTAGGTTTAATTTTCAAAATTCTTAGTTTGCTATGTTTGAGAGTAATTTTGAAGTGATTAAAATCATTTAATAATATTCAAAATCACATCAAAACATGTTTTGTTCGTTTGAAACCAATTTAATATTTGATTTTACACTTTTAAACGCCGTGTTAATGCATCATAATTGATTGAATCATTAAAAAGTATGTCGAGAGGGATTTGTATATGAAAAAAAGGGATTTTAACTACTGCAAAATAAATCCCAAACATAAATTCATCGTCAAGAACAAAGTACCATATTTGATGCAATAGGCACTATCTTCAAGCTTTGGGTGGCCTTGTCGAGAACACCGAGACCATAGCTGCAATGCTGTTTCCCAGCGGTAGCCTCGCCCAAATAATTGGTACCAACAAAATCCACATTCGACCCTGTTGGACTGACAACCAGCTGCATCCTATTAGGTTTGTTTTTGTGCCTATAAACCCTAGCCCTTACGGAATCCTGTTCCTCGACTGCTTCCTCATTGGCATCCTTGTGAGGATCAAACCCAGACGGGAAATAACAAACTAGCGGCGGAGTTTTCTGGGGATGGTTGCTGAGAACTTGGATTTTAGCATTCACTGATGGAACTCGCTTCTTCTTCTTTTCACTCTTCTTCTT